GCACAGAGTGGCTTTGCCCAGGAGTCTTCCTTGCCACTACAACCAGCTCTTTGGGGTTTTCAATTCACCACTCTAAGGAGCTGTATTTAGAAACTTCCAAAGCCTCTCCCTGCAGCAACGACAGTTCTCAAAACCTTCCTTCCCTTCCAAGGGCTCCAAAATCCCTCCTCTGTGCCTTTCCACTTAAGGATTCACTTTGCAAAGCCAAACTAACCCGGAGCAGCTGGGACTGATGTCCACCATCCCTCCCAGACACATCATTACAGACTCCAGCTTTTGGCCCTTTCTCTCTCTCTCCTTGCTCCTCTGCACAGGAACAGGCCAGGCTTCCCACCACACACAGAGCTCCAGGTAACAAATAAAACTTGTGGCTATGGGCAGGAGAATGACATGCATTTCATCCCCCAGCCCCTTCTGCAGGTCCCAAGGTGAGGTGAAATGGGACTCTTATCTCTTCATGCACCAGCCTACAGGAAAACAACTTGTTCTCCTAATTGTCAGCACAGGGCTCACACACAGCCCCTTGGCAAGACCTGGATGCTGCCTTTCATTTTGCACCTGCCAAATCCAGAGAAATACCAATTTCCTGAGCTGCCAGGGTAAAACTGACAAAGGAATGCAAACTACTTTAGACCTTTCAGCCCTCTGGACTTCTCTGTGATGCCAACGGCTGGGAAGCAGCCTGCTCCAGCACTGGGAGATGCTCCGAAACAATCTGTCCTTGGACATGGTTGCAAAATCAGCCCTGTTTACCAAAGCCCCTCCAAGAGAAGCAGTGCTGCTGGCCGGGGAGATCCCCTTCCTGGTGATCCTGTAGCCAAAAGTGGTCACACAGTCATCAAAGGGCCAGTGTAAAACTGGGAGAAACCCTGCTGGGCCTCAATCAGCTGCACGGCAGAGCTGCTCTCCCCAGCCCTTATCAGAGCCAGCGGGTCAGCACCAACATTGCCTTCAAATCTGAGCCTTCTCTGGGGAAGAAGCCGATGGGGGATTTAAGGGGTAGGAGGCAGGATGAGGAGAGATTAACTCAGACTTTGCTGCCCAAAGCCAGACAGGCTGCACTGCACAATCACGCTGTCGAGATGACATTTGTCTGTCCTATGTTACAGGAGACCCTGTTTAGCTGCCAATTGTTCCCTCTCCCTTACAAAGAGGGATTTTACAAGCATTAAGGACTCACCCAGTGAGGGCTGAAGCAGTGACCTACCTACGCTGCTGCAGGTATCAGCACAGATAATCTGGACCTTACTCTGACCAGCCCCAAAAAATTAGGGCAGCAGCAATGAAAACTATCCTTCATGGTCACAGATGAAAGAGCACAGGCTGGCTCTGCAACGGGGCGATGCTTTGGGAGGGGAGTCCCACACGCAGGGACAGTGCTGATGCCGCAGTATCCCGCAGGATGTGGGCTCAGCCCAGCAGCACGGGCCAACCCCGCTGGTTGTCACAGGGGTGTTGGTGCCTCTCACCTCTATCAACTCGCCATTTGAACCGTTTTCCCCCAGGTCGGTTGCTGGGCACAGCAAGGCCGTTTCCATGCGGACGGCTGTTTCTCCCCGTTGCCGTGGTGACGGCACTGGGCGCCAGCAGGTCGGAGGCGGGAGAGCAAGGATCGTATCTCCCCGGCGCTCCCCAAGGGCAGTGGGTACATCTAATCCAGCATTGCTCCATTTTATGCCTTTGAGAAGCACAGAGGAGATATCAAATGACCAGCGCGGCAGCGGCGGCGAGCAGGCGCTCAGAGGGATTCAGCGCTGCCCACTGCTCTTAACAACACCTTAAAATCACATCCAACAGCAGGCAGATGGCCATGGCAGGGCTTCCCTGCCACCTGCCTGGCTCTCACCCCTCCAAGCCTCTCAAGCAGCTAGTCCCACCCCAACCCTCAGCTCCAGCACCCCCATGCTGTCCTCTGGCAGGGCTCAGGCACAGGGCTGGATATCAGCGCTTCCAGTGCAATCCTCACCAGCCCTATCCAAGATAACCAGAAGCTGCTGCCCAGTTCATCAGGCACTGGAATGGAGATCGGGTGCTGAGCCACACAACTTTCTGTCATACCCCTCTGTCTGCCTGCCTGATGCTGTTGCGACACACCTGGATAGAGGAAGGACACTGGCAGAGGGAAGGATGAACCTGTGCAAGAGCAGCTTTCAGAGGGGAATGATGCACTGCCAAAAACAGGGGCTCAGGGAGTCCTCTGAGCAAAGCCAAGGCTGCTCTGGCCCATGCTGACTGTGTTGAAAAGCTGCTGGGGAGAAAGAAAGAGAAGGGCAGCCATGGAGAGTAGAAGTAAAGTGTTCCTGGCCTTAAAAAGACTGAACTCAAACTAGTTCTGTCATCCACAGAAAACAAACTCCTCCAAAGGCTCCAGTTCATACCTGGACAGAGTAGAATGCAGAAAATGCTGGGGACTTTGCAGTGTTATCTGTGACTTTCTGCTGCCTTGTTTCAGTTTCTCTTCCCCAACGGCCAAATGTTGTGCTGCTTCTCTTCTAGAAAATCACCACTGGCAAGCATCTCTCCCTGTGGTCCTTCTACCTGTGGCCAGCCAAGGGCCTTGGACTCCCACTGAGCCATCTCCACTAAGTTCCTCCAAAACTGCCCTCAAATTTGCAGGTGCACTTGGCATCCTCACCGAGGGCAGCAATCACCCCACTAGCAAACTGCAACAGCTAGAAGGTGCGCTAGGAAAAGGTGCAACTCTCAGGAGAAAATAAACAAGAGACACAGTAAAAAATTACCTCAGCACAAATGCAGCAAAGCCTTGTGCTTGTACAGTGTCCTCTACTCCTGATTAACCAAGAGAGGGCCCACATGTTACCCAGAAGCTGCAGCACAGCCCTGAGCAGCCGAGACAATGGGCACTGCAACCCTTTCCAGTTCTCCTCACATGCAGGGCCACAGCAGTCGCCCATGAATTACCAATTTCCAGACTGCTGGTTTAAAACTGGTGCAGTATTTTTATGTCAAAACATCAGGAAAAAAAAAAAAAAAAAAAGGAAAAATAATGTTCCGTTCAGGTTTTTTCCATATTCTGAGAACTCATTTCCTTACACAGTAAGTACAGCTCTTCCCCAAGAGAAACAGAGGCAAATCAGACCTTGGCCAGCTCTAGCAGGGGCCAGGGTTGCCTGATGAGCAGCCAGCACCAAGCTGGGACTGCTACAGTGATTGACTGCACAGCTCAACCCACAGCCCCCACAGCCCTAGAGCAAGTTAAAAAAAAATAAATTAAAAGCCATTGCACCATTCTCTCCTTCTGAGGAGTATTTGGCCAGAAAAGCTCTTTGCAGCCATGTAACAAGATAGGGAAGCATAGGGAAGCACAAGGATTCAGCCACAACAATGACTGGAGCTCGGATAGCAAGGCAAAAGCCAGCCCACAAAATCCTATCCTGTTGCTTGTCCACGGGACCAACAGTTTGCTCAGCAGCATTCACCTATCTGATAAAGGCTCACAGAAGGACAAAAGCTGTCAGGAGGGCCACGTGTCCCACTGCCATCCCTTTACCACCTCTCTGCCCACAGCCCTGAGAGATCCTGCAAGAAAAGCTGGCAGAAAAGCAGCAAGGGGGAGAGCATAAACAAGAAAGACAAAGAGACTTCTTAAAGCATCAGGAATCTGATTCTTCTAGCTGGGTCAAAAGGATCAAGGGAAGAGCATAATAGATGCAGCACCTGAGCAAAAGGAAGGTCCTGTCAGTACATACAGGGAGCTGAATCAGGGCCAGCCATGAGCACTGGAAGGTTAATTGAAAGGAGTCTTTAGTAGGGGCACACCATTAATGGATCCATAGGTTTGACTCTAGTGGGATTTCTGTGGCTTGCTGTCTAATGCCACTTATATAAGAAATAATGCAAGTGTCCTGTTTTTACTGTTTGGGGTTTTTTTTTAAAGCAAAGGCATCACAAGAAGTAAGAAAAGATGGGATTTTGCTGCCAGTCAAACAAGGTTTCCAACTCAAGCATCTCCTTGTCATTTTAGTGCCTGTCTGAAAAGCCACGGGCTCAAGAGCTTTCTGGTATGGTCAAGGTCTGCATAGGAAAGCATCGGAGAGCTGCACACGGGAAAATGGAGGAAAGGTTCAAAGGAAAATCACATCCATGCTCCAGATATGCATGCTTAGAGGGACTAACACAAACAGGGATGCTGCCAGGTTGTTACAGAGCAGCAGCTGATTACAGGGGGATCCCAGACTTTGGGAAGGTCCCGATCGCGTGATCTCAGCCACAATGTTCTGCAAAGAGGCAGGGAACATGGAAAATCCCAGTGCCTTTGCCCAACCCAAAAGCAGTGGACAGGCAACAGCTCCTCTGCTAAGCAAGGTGTGTTCAGTTTATCCTGATTATGGCTGGGCCACTTACACATGATGGAGCCCAGCTTTCCTGGAGATGGCTGAACACTCACCTGCCCATGGGAAGTGGGAATTAATTCATATTTTGCTTTGTTTGCATGTGGCTTTTAACCACCCATTAACCTGTCTTTATCTTAATCCACAAATTTTCTTTTTTACTGTTACAGTTCTCTCCCCAGTCCTGCTGGTAGGGGATTGAGCGAGTGGCTGTGTGTGGGGCTGAGTTGCCAGCTGGGGTTAAACCACAAGCTTTCAGCTCTTAATCATGGACCATCAGCAGAAAATGACCAAAAGGCTAGACAAATGCTGTAAATGGAATAAAGGAAGAGTGTCTGAATACAAGTTGGGATAGTAATAATATACAAAGGGGAAAACATAACTGAAGGCCAGGAATTCCTCTCCCAGCATTAGTTCATGTAGACAAGAATCTGAGAAATCTGCAGGAACTACAGAAAAGCCTCAGGTGGGAACATTCTTGAGCACACTTGAACTCCAAATTCCAGGAAGAGGCAGCAAACGCCCAGTGATATGCCTGCATAGTCCAAGACACACCTCTGCCATCTCTTCTTAGCAAAGGAATTCCCATTTGCACCATTCAGGTTTTTGGAAGACAAAGACGATAAATCAGACTCTTCAAGTAAATTCTGTTTATTCCATTTTTGTCTTGTGTTGCTAACAAATCTTTACCCTAACCTAAGAAAAATATCAGGTAGAAAATATCTCCCCTTTCCTCCCACCCTCCCCACCACACACACACACACAGTTTTTGTTTCTTAAACAAAAGAATCAAAATTTCAAGCATGAGAGACTTTTCTTTCCATACATTTCTATAACAAAATTAACTCTGTTGTAGATATAAAATGCAGCAGCCAAGACCAGAGGATCTGCTATGCTACTCCAAGGCAATTAGTACCCAGAATGATCAGTTTGTCTGCAAACATAATAAGAAAATACTTAGCACTTATCCAGCACTTTTTATCCATGAATTTCAAAGTGTTTTACAAAAACTGAAAATATGTTTTTGGCCTCATTTATGTAGAAGAAAACACCAGCTGGAACAGGAAGAGATTTGCCCCCAGCCACAGAACAATTTAATAGCAGAGCTAAGAACAGATCTCTGGTCTCTGAGCCTAAAGTCCAACAATTTGTGCCACACTCTCTGCTTCACACAGGGCAGCCTGAATTTAGCAAAAGCCCCGAATACAGAAATGCTGAAGTAGTTTATATTTTTGCCACTGAAAAAAAAAAAAAAAAAAAAGTCTAAATGGAGCTATTTTAGTAAGGACAAACCTCCCGAGGCTGTGACACCAAAGAGAAAACCCAATCTCAGATGGAGCTGCTGAAAGCTTTGGAGAAGAAAAAAAAAGTCTCATACTCAAGTGTGAACAGCTGTGAGAGTGGTGCAGAAAGGAGGTAAATCCATGATCTACAGTGTGCAAACGGTTCTCCACTTGGAGCTTTAATTGAATGTTTGAGGAACAGATCACAGGATAAAAACCTAAAACCTTGACAAATAGTGTTATTAGATGGAGAGGAACCTGCAGCTAAAGCATGCACGGCCTGACACCTCCTCTGTTAGCAGTGTTCTGACCCACCGTCACTCCTGACAGACCTGAGACACCAGCAGTGCAAACACCAGGAAAAGAGTGGTGAAATGCAATGTTTTCCCTAGAAATATGTTAAGCAAGGCCAGGAGAGCAAAGAAGTACCATGAGGCAGAGAGTAAAGGCTGATTCAAGGATCCCAGGGCATCCTCAGTTACAAGGTCCATCATTCATGCCATAAGCAGGTACCAACACCCACACAGTTCTCCTGTGCATTACCAGCAAAATGAATGCATGATTCTCTCACTCCTCTTCACAGGTATGTGGCCACAATACATCACCCACAGCTCATTTTGGTCCAAACAAGACACCCACAGGGTCCTTTAGAGGGTTTCCTGTGTATTAGCACCAATTTTCTAATGCCTCCCCTGTACCTCCCATAGGAATGGGACAACAACAGGCTCCAGCTTACAACAGAGCACCTCGTGATGTTGGGATGGTTGTGCTGCCTGGCAGCACTCAGCCCATGTGCAAAAACCCCCAAATGCTAGCCTACAACCAAAACCTCCATTTTTAAGAGAGAAGGGCAGGCCAGCATCCTCACCAGCCCATGGTGGCAGGTAATTACACCTAGGAGCTTAATTTATCATCAGCATAAAAACTGCTGTGGTCCAGCCAGCCCCGACACAGTGGCCAGCTGCGCTCTGAAGCCTGGGAACAGCAACCCGGGTTCTCACAGAGAACAGTGTATCAAACAGGGAGAGGTAAGCAACCTAAGTCAACAAGCTCATCTCCTAACTGCAAACCCGCAGCAGTGAACATTAATTCAGGTCTCCTCCCTCCTTCCTGGGCAAACCCAAATGCTACTAATTTTCCATGTTCATACTCCAACACACAGGGGAGCGCCAGCAGCTGGGTCTCCTCTCCCCCCAGCAGCAGGGCTGCAGATGGCCGTGAAGATTCACCCCATGCTGCAGAAAAGTCCTTCTAACGTGACCAAGGAGCTGCTGTTGCTCCCCTACACCCTTCCCAGCCACCCATCTTCCTTCTGCACCCACCTCCTTGTGCATTAGAGACACAACCAGCTGCCCTGACTTGCTGGCATTAACACACCATCTCTCACTTAGGAGCTTTTACAGATACTAAGGCACAAAGATTAAGTGACTTGCATAAGAGTCAGGAACAAACCTCATGTCTTTCAGTTGATTTCTCACACCTTTTTTCCTGACCTCTTCCATATCAAAATCACGTGAGCAGATTGTGTGGACTGAGAGCAGGACCTCGTTTCCCCAGCAATACTTAAGATACAAACAGGGGCAGCTGTATCCAAGCCCTCCCCAGGGCTCCCATCCATTCCCCCTATGACAGGCTGTTTGACAAGGTAAGAGTGCAGAAGGGAGCGCTCCACTGGTGTGATGCAAAGCCCCATCTCTGCCACCCTAAGTCCTGCAGCAGGACAGAAAATGGACATCTCTCTGACAAAGTAGGAAAGGAAAATTCAGCTACGCTTTGTTCATCCATGGGGATAGGGAAGGAGCAGGAAGGACTGCTTAATGCAGTGGGACCCTCACAGTACAATCAGGGTCAGGAGAAACATCCACACCCTTAACTGGAGCAGATCAGCTTTCCTCAGCTGAGTGCCCCGCGAGATGCCACCGGCAGGAGCTCCCTGGTCAGGTTTCTCGGCACGAGCGATGGTTTGGGTTCCCGGAAGGTGTGAGTGTCTGGCCTTGGCGCGTCTGTGGCAGAGGCCCAGACCCAAGGAGAGCCGCTGGCGAGGCCCACTACGTGCAGCTGTGCCTCATGTGGAAGTTCACCACGTACTCGGCATTGGTGCGCTGCACCGAGATGGCAAAGGGCTCGAAGGGGTGGAAGGTGAAGGCCACCAGGCGCCGCACGGTGTGATTGATGGGCCGCCCCAGGAGTCCCGCCTGGATCTCGAACTTCAGGAGGCCAGAATCACGAGCGTAAAATCTGAAAGGAAGAGAAAGTCAATTATGGCTGTTCCCGACTATTGACTTTGCCATCTGGGCTCTTCACACACAGAGTGCCTTGTTCAGTCTCTGGTACTCCCTCAGGGGCAGGAGGTCCTCAGCTGGGTGTCGAGCTCTTGGCTATGCAGAAAAGGCCCTCCCGGGGCAGTTGTTTTCTACTGTCTAGAAAAGCTTCACTTCATTCTAGTATTAGAAGTGAAAGAACTCTGCCTGTCATTTTGGTGGACAAAGCTGATTTCACAAGGGGGAGTAAGTTTGGTTCAGACCCCACCTGTGCTGGCTCTCCACCCTCTCTTAATGCAAGCTGCTCCCCTTGATCCCTAAGGCAGGTTTATCGTATAGAACTGAGCTTACTTCTCTTAGCAATGGCCTTCACTAAGAGTGTAAGGCTGCCCCTTCCCCCTCCTGGTGCTGCCAAGGAAGGCTTTACACTGCTGTTCTTGTGTCTTGCTACCTCCTTGTTCAGCTGAAGAAACTTGACCCAATCCTGCTGAAGGGTGCCAAGTTGTACTGTACAGGCTTTGCAGTTCCTTCTACATTTCCATCAGAAAAGCATTAATGAGATAGGCTGGGCAGGAAGAAGCTGACGGATTGGATTCCACAATCACAGCAAGGGCAGAGATCAAGGTAAACCTAACATCCTTCTGCTGTCACACACCTGCCTATGGGTCAAGCTCACGTGTGTCTCCAAACAGGTGAGCTCTGGAATACAGCTCCAACACAGAGCAGATATTGCCAAGGGGACAAGGGGAATCCAGGGAAGCTCTTTGGTTCTTGAACCTTCTCTGCACACAGAGTGTAACCAACATAAGCCCAGGTAACACCACTGTCCTCTACTGTTGTGGGAACATGGGACTCTCTGCGAGGATCTCACACTCCCCACGATTTTGAAGGAGGTTAATGGATGTGGTACCTTCACAAATTAGCTGGACTCTAACTCAAATCCTCACCCTGCAGTTGTTTCAGTTCGTTAGACCATTTTCATTAGACCTCTTCCAATTTTGAGCACAGAATTGCCATTTTGCCCCACAGCTGCTTCCTCTTCCACCAACACTTAGTATATGTGGGTATTTTGCATTTTCCTCTGGTTTTAACTCAAAGAATGCTTTTAATCTTGGAGCACATCTCCCCCCTGCCAGCAACACAATGCACTCAGCTCTCAGTCTGGAAGAACAGCTGATGACAGATACTGGCGATGCTGTTTCAGGAGCAGACATACTCCACATTTTAACAACACAGCCTATTGAGAACCTCATGTTCTTCCTGGAGGGCCACTCTCTTCTCCCTTCCTCTGAATCAAAGTGCCAGCCAGCCCTGCCTGAAAATTGCACACAAGAACCCAGCAAGAGAATCACAGTCTTGGTATTTGGCTTTTCAAAAAGTCCTTTCCCTCCTACACAAGGCTGGGTATGGAGAGGGTCATTCTTTAAATAAAGCACAGTCCCCCATCTGTTCCTCTCTCCCCCAATTCACAACAATTTACTACTCAAGATGAAGCTCCCTGTAATCTAAAAGATGTGCTCAGTTTGGTATTTTTAAATGTATTTTTAAAAGTGCTCTGCAATCAGAGGCCATTTCCATGGGCTCTCACTCTGGGGATAAATTAGGCCCTGCAATATAAAATTGTATGTCAACAGAAACAGCAAGACCAGCCTTTTCAAACGGTAGGAAAATGGAAGATTTATCTGCAGACCAATTCTTTTGTTAAAAGGTTCCTTATTAGCCATCTAGATGGATTTTAGAGACCCCCTGCTATAGGTAGAGTGTGTTAGATAGAGCCTCTTCCTCACAAGTGCCATCATTTCACCCACTGAATATCTCTTCAAGCCTCCTGAAAAGAGACTGGAAGGCGGTGATGATGGGGAACCTAAAGTCCTTACAGCCTGAGAGCAAACAACCACTGGTCTCTTACGTAGCCAGAGTTGAGAGTTGAACCTTCCGGGATGCAGAAAGGCACTAAGGGTTAAAAGGACACAGTACACAGAAGTGCTAAATGGATGTGGAAAAGGTCTGGAGACCTTCCTAGCTCACACGTTGTGCCAGGAAACTGCACACAGATTATAACACCCTTAGCTGCTGAAGGGTTTTCCATTCCAGACAATTACAGGACTTACATTACAAATCCTGCGGTCCCTCGTTTCCAAGCCCTCTACCCACAACAGGCAGCTGGCATTATTTTATTAATCCCTTTGTTTTGCATGTGGGAACCACAGCAGCACTATTTGAGCTATTGAATGGTTAAGGTTAGCGCCTCATCTTCTGCTTGCTTACCAAAAACCAGGAGCCCCACTGCTCCGAGGCTCTATTCAAGTCCTAATTGACTCTGCACAGCTTTGAGCTTTAAAAGCTCTGGCTCTAAACGCGGGTTTGCTCAGGGGAGGGAGGGAAGGTGGCACTTGGCTTTGTTTACTACAAAGACTCCACCGCAGCAAATGACTGCGGTTCTGCTCCCTTTTGTCCGCAGGAGCCGGGCGCAGGTTGGCGCTGGCAGACAACTGCCACCCTGCAAGTTTTCCCAACGTCAAGCATGACAAGGGGGAAAAGGGCAGGCTTTCTCTGCAGATAGCACGGAAGCTGGAGATCAAACCAAATCATACAGGCAGAAAAATCAATTAAATATACATAATTTGGGAATTGAGGGCGCAGGAATAATCAGAAGTTCCCCACCACCTGAGTCAGGGCCAGGGGAGATATGAAAGCACTTTTTGAGAATGAATTGATGAAAACAAAGTTGGGAAGCTGGCCAGAATTATCTCCCTAGGCTGCCTGAGCCCCCAACATGTGTGCAGTCACTAAACAAAGCACTCAGGCACTGAAGGCTCTCTTTGTTTTCAGAGCATAGGTTTGCTTCTGCAGTACCGTGAGTGGAAAGACTATTCTGGCTGGAGAACGCAGCCTCTTTGAGCCTTTCGGGCCAGAGATGTTGGATTTTTAACCAATACTGCTGGCAGCCATGGCTGCAGCCAACAAAAAGAAATAAACAGTCCTGGTGTTTCTGCAAGAAGCATTGCAAACCTCCTTATTCCCAGGCTCAGACTGCCAGCACCAAAGACTCAGACAGAAGAGGCTCTGAATGGCCCTCAGACCTGGCTAAAGCTCCTACTACAGACAGAAATTTCCTACAGAGCACTGAGAGAAGGGGTGTAAGAGGAGAAGTGCAGCTCCCAGGGTGTGAACTGTAAACAAGGGAAGTCTGAAAACAGCTAAATCAATACCACAAGCATTATGAGTAACACCTAACCCAGCTGCTATGTTATTCACAGGACAAACCAAATAATCCTTGCCAGCTATACCCATGTGCTCAAAAAGGATCCTTCCAGCATAGGAAAGCAGCCATCCAGAACGGTATCATTCTGCAGCCCAAACACAACAGCAGCACTTTTCCATTCATGTGGAAAAGGTCAGGCTTCACTACCCAAACCTTCCCCAGAGCGGCACAGTGAGAAAACCTGAAGAAACCTCCCATATGAGTTACTGCAAAGGAGAGAGGTCAAGCTTTGTGGCTTGCTGAAATAAACCCTCTGGTGAAAGGATTTCCTAGGCCAAAGGCCTTGATCTACTCCCTCCTGTTCACACATGTGGCAGAGGCGATTTAGGACGACTCTCGCCCTGCTCCCCTCACATACAGCTTCTTGGCCTGTCCCATACCTTATGGGGTGATCACCACAGGTCTTGGGGCGCTCCATGACTGACACCCACTTGTCATCGTAGCTGAACAGGGAGAGGTCGAGGTAGGGGCTGCCGCTGTAGGACTGGGCGCTGATCGGGAGCTGCCCCAGCAGCCGCCGCACGGCCTCCGTGTGCCCTCCATACTTGGCGTTCACGATCGTGTCCTTGAACCTGCAGCAAACCCAGAGACACGCTCTGTTCACAAAGGCCACGGGTGGACAGCACAGCTTAAATAAACTAAGGAGGAAAACAATTAGGGAAAGCAAACAGCAGCAGCGTTAAGAACCAAACCGGCTCACTTGCAAAGATGTATCACAGTGATTCAAGCATCAGCCAGTTCTGGTGACCTTTTTATCCTCCCTCCTCATTACTGTTTCTGCCCTGAAAGTCCAAACTGACAGAAGAAGAAGACTGTGCCTACCCACAAGGTCTGGCCCCAGCTGCTCTGCAGTACAGGAAATGAACAGGATCAGAAACAGGGAGAGATGGATTAGCAGCTTATCAGTCAATCCAAGTTTTACCATGAAGCCTGGAAACAGCATAAGCAAAAGCCAGAGGGTTTCACAGTAACAGTTGAGCTATTAATGTTGACTTGAGAATCCCCCTCTCTCCAGCCACTGTGTTTTAAGGGAGAAACCTTAGATGAGGAAGAACCTTGACAAGAAGCACAAAGCTCTTCAGAAACTACAGTGAGCTGAAAGTTCTCCCTGAGGGAGACATTAACACAGGCTGGATTTCTCTTTCCAAATAAAATTTTAAGCTCTCCATGTGCAAGAACAGTCAGATAGCTGCAGGGATGTCAGACATCAAGGAGGGTAAAACACTTCCGTTTGACCAGAAACACTCAGCCAAAAGCCAGCTCACTCTGGATTATTCTCGGTGATACTTTGCTGTGGAAGTTATAACACTCCTGCTACAGGCCCTTGTAGCCAAGAGAATGAAAAGATTCTCCTCTCCACTTTAACACAAGGCAGGAGTTGTTCTTCAGGAGTCTCTGGTGAGTCCTCTCATTCTCTCTTCCATTAATCATTATGGATTTCCTGACAGGCAGCTCTAGAAAGTTACAGACATAGTCAACTTCGTCACACTTACGTGACATCAACCTAAAATCAACAGAAGCTTAATGCCCATAAGTGAATGCCAAGTACTTTGGATGATGTGAAACAAGTCACTGGAAGAACAAAACACCCTGAGTCACATAAAAATATATTCCAAGAGAAATAACACACTCTGCCTCATTAAAACCATGTTTGACTGTTAAAGCACATTCTAGAAAGCCAGGTTATTTTGGTATTTTGCTCAGCTTTCACAATAGGTCTAAGCAGAAGAGTTTCCTTTCTCCTAGCACAGTCTGATGAGAATCACAAGCTTGTGACTGATGTTGAAGAAAATGCTACAGAACACAGTTTGATACACACTAAATTCAAAGAATATCACTTGGCAAAATACGCCCAACTAGATGATGGCAGCATCTTGACAAATCATATCTTCAGGGACCAAAGCTACTGGGCAGTAACACTTTAATAACCTCCAAAAGAGCTATTGCTCAAGGAGAGACGGGAACATCTTTCCCTCAAAATTCCTCTTCCTTCTTCTAAGCACCAGATTCCCACTGCTTTGTGGCAATCCTCTAACAAGGCAGATGCTGTGGAATATAAAATCAAATGCATGAGGCTGCAAGGTGAACCATGTACGAGCCTGCCCCTTACATCACCCTGCAAAGGGGACTAAAGGAACTGTTTTTGTCAGTAATTTGTTATTTGATACTGGCCTTCAGCGGACGGGGGTGAGCGTGTGTCTATACGGTATAAAGCATGCTCCGAATGGCTCACCGGCGCTGGATCTGCCTGGCAAAGTTGTTGCTGGAAGCTGAGCAGGGGAACTGGACAGCCTCACTGTGCAGGGTGGCATTCCTGAAGAGGTCACAGAAGTTCTCAAACAGCTCCAGCAGCTCGTCGGACGTGTTCTCGAACACGGCGATAACCTCCGTGGTCACCATGTTGTACACGACGAAGAACGAGGGCTGGGGAGAGAGGCGGAGGCAGAGGTTACCCAGGAGGGCATGGCTGGGGGAGCTCTCCCTTCCTTCTCCCCCACATCACACCACAGACCCTCTCCAAATTTCTCCACAGCGCAGGAGAATCCCACGTCCTCATGCTAATCCATATTCTCCTATTCAACATGTACCAAATGATCCACCTCTTAACTGTGATTTTTTATGAAGAAAACTTAATGGGCTTCCTATTTTTCAACTCCACCTGGATGCAATAGTTCTGTTTTCTCTTCCTCTCTGTCCCCTCCACTAAAACCAAAACACTTTCTCAAGTGCCAAATTTAATTTTCATTCCTGCTGACAAAAAGATTTTAGATCCAGTGCTAGCTGGCCATCAATTATTTTTTCGTCTCCTTCCCCTTTTAATATTTGCATCACACAGAGATAAGCCTTTTTAGTGTACTATGCACTACATCACTGCCTACAAAATGCTGTACCCTCCAGGTACCCTGGCAGCACAGAAATGAAAATCTGAAAGACATTAATGACTTCTTTTTAATGCTGACATTCTTGTGCAAGAAGACCCTTGTATTGCGCTGTGGATTTGGCCATGGCAATGTTTCCTGGCATGAAATTGGGAAAAAGGTGACATTGTGTCAGCATGGCTACATCAAAGGGAGATGACAATCCCATTCCGTTGTGAAAGGGCAGATTTAATTCTTGGTCGTTAAAAGTAGCTTTCATTAGACACAGGAGTGCTGGCACCCCAAATAAGAACCTGCCCCCACTTCAGAGGTAATGAATTCCCGTGGTATAGGCACGTGCCTGATTCATCTTCTGTCAATAGAGGCAAATTCTAAATGCTTCACCTCCTGCTCCCAAAAACAATGCTCAGGGATGACGGCAGGCACTCTGCCCTCCCCACCCACCTCCAAATATCACAAGGTTTGTTTGTTTTACAGCCCCAAAATAAAACTGTGATAATACAATCCAGCCCCCACATGTCAAAATGAAGCGTGCTAGATGAGGTTACTCACTCGACTGCTGCCTAAGGAAAGGGAAGCCCTTCTGAAATAAAGGGTTGGAGCAGAGAGAAAATAAGAGGAGACAGCAGAAGGAAGCACTGTTTACATCACTGAAGACTGTAGGGAGTATCCTCCTACCTTAAATAAAAAAGTTCCTTGTCCAGGTTAACACAGAGACACATCTACAGGATATCTTTGAGCAGAGAAACTACCCTCCCTGCTTTTTAGCAGCACCTGTAACACCAGCAAAACATCATCACAGCATGGGAGGCAGCAGCTGAGTGTCACAGAAATCACGCAGCAAAGCTGTCAAGTCTATCAGCACAGGCCTGGAACAGCAACAACAACCCCCAAGCTACATATGCACAGCACACGATTAAAGATCTCGAAGGATTCGCTGCAGACCCAGACAAGAAACACGCAGCCCACAAGTATAAACAGTGACTCCTCAACCTTCTTGGCAGAGAAGCCAGAGAGGAGAGAGGAGCCTGGAATTGTCTGATAGACGAAAGAAAAATCAGAGCTTTAGGTATTTTGTGAGCCAAGTTTTCTTCAGGAAGCCCTAACACAACGCCTATACTCACAAAGGACTGTGGAGTCCGCTCCACATCTGGAATTATCTCCTGGAAGAACTGAGAAATGAGATGCTTTTCCTCCAGCATAAAACCCAGTGCCTGAGGCTAAACCAACCACAACCTGTATCTTAAAGTAACCCCCGGGTGAAGAGAGTTGAGAGCTCTCTGCAGCAAACCAGGCACAAAGGCCCCAATAACCACAGCAGAGTGCGGAGCTGAGCCTGCCACAAACATTCTCATCAGGGTCAGGAGCTCATTCCAGACACCAGCAATGAGCAGAACGCTGCAGGCCACTTCCACAGAGCTTTAGTGTCTCTGAGACAGATGTTTAGTTTTACACCAATGAGCAAAGTGGATTAGATTAAGCCTTTCCTTTTTCCCAGCAAAGCCACTTCCTAAAACAAACACCAAAGAAGAGAAAAATAAAACACAAGTCATCTTCCAGGAAGAATTAGAGTAAGGCAACAAGCTAAGAGCTACTGTCTATTTCTTCTATGATCTAGGTCCTTGTGGAAGAGAAGGATATGAAAGAAAAACAAACATCTGGGGAACAATCAGACCTACGTGCTGTACTGGAAATTTATTACAAATTCTCACTAAATACTTTCCACAGAATAAAAACCACGCTCGTTAAAGGAATAAAAACTGATTTTAAAAAAATATCTCAGTTTCACGGAGCTCAAAATGTGGCCACCACTCAAACAGCAGTGAAAAGAAATGATCAACCTGCAGGGTGGTGAAACGTCTGGAGGGACACAGCAGTGACTGAGCTACATTTGCCGTAATTCCACTTCTTTAGTACTAAACTGAAAGGAGAAGCAATTGGCACATTAGCCAGATCTAAGAGCTGCTACTCCAATTTGGAGAGATCATGAATACCGTCTCTCCCTGAAGCTTGAAAGAGTAAGTATGCAGGCAGAACAGAAAAGGTAATTCTACTGTAGGGGAAAAAATGAAGACTATTATATTTGAAAAACATGCTTGAAGATACATGAGAAAAGGGAGAGACTACCTCTACAATTTAAGTGGACCTTATGAAATATCAGCTAAAAATAAATTCAGCTGGGGATCTGGGCGGGAAAGAGGGTTCTACAGCATCTGTGAGCACGGGGAACAAACCCTGGAGAAAGGAGACTCACTAACCATGTCAGATCTTTTCTCTCTCATTTTTCAGATACGAAGGAAGAGATGAAATTATGCAAACAAAAGACACAAAAGTTATTTAATATCAGAGGCATCAAATGTTCACAATAAGAATGAAGTCTTGGGGATCCCAAACAACATCCACAGGCTCAGCTAAGAAACAAGCATCTTACTGCTTGAGCACGTGCCCCAAAGCAATGAGCAGACTGAGGACAGAGACAGTACCTGAGTAAACCGGTCTAGCGGAAGGTTAGCGGGGTTGGAAATGGATGATCTTTAAGGCCCCTTCCAACTCAAACCATTCTGTGATTCTATACCTGGGAAGGATCCGTCACCCTCAGCGTGACCACGTCCTCACTAGTGTATTTGATAAAGAGGTGGTTCTCATCCAGGAGCTGCATCTTCCACATGCGGAGCTGCCTCAGCTGGTCAAAGTACTGGAAGAACCTCCTCTTTGCTATGGCGCTCCCATCCTGCTCCGCCCTCCTCCACAGGTACACCAGCAGCCTGTGCTTCAGGGAGTTGATGAAGGGCTCCTTGTAGGGGTTGGCCATCCCTGTCTGCGTGTCCCGCTGCACCTCGGGGTACACCGCAGACAGGGTCAGCAGATCGTCCTCGTAGCAGAAGCGGCCGATGGTCCGCACGTCGATGAACGTCCCCTCGGGCGTCACCTGGAAGACGTGGATGGTCTGCTGCTGCACGGAGAGGATGGCCAGGATGTTCTTGTAGAGGTACAGCCCCTGGTTGTGCGACAGGATGACCTTGTCGCACTTGAAGGCGCGCGTGTCGCACAGGCGGCCCGTGTGGAGGTCGATGATGTGCAGGGAGTAGTCCTCGAGCGGGGAGCGCGGGTTGGGCGTCACGGACTCGCTGTTGCGGTACACCTCGAAGAAGGGCGGGTGCGGCTCCTCGGGCAGGTAGGCGGCCGAGCCCACGATCACGTAGCGGCAGTCGTCCGTGAACAGGCTGCACTCGCGGTTCAGGTGCTCCCCGTTGGAGGCCACGTTGGTGATGTGCAGCAGCACGAAGAAGCGCTCGAAGAGCCGCCCGCGGATGTTGACGGCCCGCTGGTCGCTGCCGTTGGCCAGGATCTCCCCCTCGTAGCCCTGCAGCAGGTCCTCGGCCGCCTGGCAGCCCTGGTACTCGTAGATCTCCAGGGAGGTCTGGTCGGAGGAGAAGGCGATGAAGTAGCGGCCGTCGGGGGAGAACTTGCGCAGGAAGCAGGGCGGCTTCTCCACGTTGACCACGGTGAAGTTGGGGAAGACGTTCTGGTGGAAGACGCGGACCTGGTGCCAGTGGGTGCCGGCCTTGCCGGAGCTGATCCGGCGGCGCTCCAGGCGGTGGATGACGTTCTGGTTCTGGATGCGCCGGGGCCGGATCGTGGGGGCCTCATGGTCCATGGTCGGGGTTCTACCTCATCCTCACCCTGCGGGGAGCAGCACACGAGCTCTGGGACCACACGGGGTGGAATTCAGGGGACCTGCTCACATGGACTCACAGCACCCCAGGGGGGTGGCTTAAAGGGGCAGCTGGACTTTGGGAGCAGGGAGATAACACAGGAGAGCACTGGGAGAAACTGGGAGAGAGATCTCAGCGGGAGGCACCAGGAAATCAAGGAGAGCCCAGAGGTGACCCCAGTGCACTGAGGGGTGGTGGTACCTGCAGGTCTGTCTGCTGGAGAAAAACACGCAGCGAGGCACCGGGAGGGAATCGGGAAGAGGGGCAGGCACAGGTGGGCACCAAGGCAACGGAGGGAGCCCAGGGAGCCAGGGATAATCCACAGACCTGATAAATAGCAGGCCCGAGAAACAGCCTGGAAAGAACGGAGGGAGCTGGGGGCGAGGGGACACAGAAGGGGTCACCGCGATGCGCCCGGGCACGCCTGCCGAGGTGGGAGAGGGGAGGCGCGGTCCCTCGGGGCTGTGCAGGGACTGAGCTCCAAGTGAAGCCGGGGTCAGCTACGGGTCCGCCCGCTGAACGGAACGAGGCTCCCAGCAGCTCTCCCGCTGGGTTGGCGGCTGAGGGGACACGGGGGACCCGGCTGAGGGCCCGCAGGAGGCCGCGGCCGCGCTCACCGCCGGGGCCGCGCCGGGTCCCATCACGCCATGGCGGCCGCCATCTTTCCGCCACCGCACAGCGGCGGGAGGGCGGCGCGGCCACTTCCGCTTCCGGCCGCGTGACAGCGAAGGGGGACGGCCGGGCCAGAGGGGCAGCGAGCGGCGGAGAGCGCCCCCTGGCGGCGGGAGGGAGCGCTGCGCCAGCACCCACAGCACCCATCCTGGAACCGTCCTGGAACCGACCTGCACTCACAGCACCCACAGCACCCATCCTGGAACCGTCCTGGAACCGTCCTGCACTCACAGCACCCACAGCACCCATCCTGGAACCATCCTGGAACCATCCTGGACTCACAGCACCCACAGCACCCATCCTGGAACCGTCCTGGAACCGTCCTGGAACCGACCTGCACCCACAGCACCCACAGCACCCATCCTGGAACCGTCCTGGAACCGTCCTGCACTCACAGCACCCACAGCACCCATCCTGGACCCATCCTGGATCCACCCTGCACTCACAGCGCCCACAGCACCCATCCTGGAACCGTCCTGGATCCACCCTGCACCCACAGCACCCATCCTGGACCCATCCTTGACCCTTCCTGGAACCACCCTGGACCCACCCTGGACAATCCTACACCCCTTGCACTTATCCTGCATCTCTTGCACCCACCCAGCACCCACCTAGCACCCATCCTGAACCCACCCTGCACTCATCCTGCACCCACATCACCCATCTTGGAACCACCCAGAACCCACCCCGCTCCCATGGATCCATCCTGGAACCACTCTGTATCCATCCTGCACCCATCCTGCAGCCTCTGCACCCCTCTGGCACCCCCTGCCCTGTACCCATTCTAGACACCCAACACCCATCAAGGACCTGCTAGACCCATCCTGTACCCCCTGCACCCACCCTGCACCCATTCTACATCCACTCTGCACCCACCCTGGACCCATCCTGCACCCACAGCACCCACCGTACAACCGACCAGCCCCTGCGCCCTATCTCAGCACCCCCTGCACCCCTCTTGCACTCTGCCACCCCATCCCAGCACCCTCTGCATCCCCACCCAACCATCCCCAATTCCTGAGCCCCTCCATGCCTGGAGCACCTCCATGCCCAGGAGGGGTCTGGCACGGCCCCATCGCTCCTTTATCCTGAGTCCCCACACGGGGACACCGCAGGGGACATCACACCTGCTGCCAGCACACTGGGGTGCACCCCAGCCCTTCAACCCCAGCACTGGCCGCAGAGACTGAGGACACCCCAGGCACCTCCTCGGCTTTTCCAAGGGGCTTGAAAGCCTTTTGCTCGCCTTGGCTTTTACCAGCACCCCCTCCCGCTCCGTGCATTAGCGTCAAGGGCGGCTCCGAGGGGCACTTCTCCTCCAAAGGGAAGGAGGGAGGAATGTCAGGGGGGCCCTTGAGATCCATTTGCCATCCTCTTGCCGAGGCTGAGCCGACACACTGGCTCATGGAGCCACTCCACTGGTGGGCGTGGGAGCTGGGAGCGGGAGCACGGGACTCCAGCCGGGGGCAGGAGAGCTGGGTGACAGCGACACCCAGCCAGTGTCACACCAGAGTGGTTGGGGGATGCTCCTCCTGCACCAAAGCTCTCGCCATTGAATTCCCAGGGATCCTTTGTCTGTTTTATGTGATGCTTTAGGGTCCAGCCAGCAGTGGGGCAGAGTAGGACCTCACCACCCGAGGGGCTGGGTGGCTCCCACTGCCTTCCCGCAGGGATGGGGCAAGGCAGAATGCCTGGCACTCCCGAGCCTGGCACACCCTGGGTGACCCCGCTGCCACCCCACCTGCCTGCCCCATTCCAATCTCCCACGGGTTCCATGCCCAGCAGCCATATCCTGTGTCCCTTCCCGGTGTCAGAAGGCGCGATGACAAGGCTAAAATTGATGGCTCCTGTGTCCCTCTTTGTCTCTCTGGCTCCTACCTAATTAATTGAGATCCACCTTAATAGGATCAAACTAAATACCAAAGAACATCCAACCACACAGCAGCTGGCATGAAAACAACCGCCCGGCACACACACACACACACACCGAGAAGCAGTTCACTGGACAAAAGGGTCATAAATACAGCAGCAATTAGTGCTTCCAGAGCTAATAACTTCATCACAGCAACCTTCCCACAGCTTCAGCCCCCTCCCTGGTGCTTGGAAGCGGGTCAGAGGACCCTCACTGGAGCGGTTTCAGCCATCAGCAGGGATTTGCATCACGTGCAATAGATCCCATTGCTGGCACAAGGCTGGGGGCAAAGTTAGTCCTGGCTTATTTTGGCCTGGGGGGTGGCAGAAGTGGGGGGTTCACCATGCCAGACCACCTCCCTCCCCCCAGGTGAATGTTGGGGAGTCAGGACTCTTGGGACATTTCCCACCTCCCACAGCATTTCGTGCCACCCCTTGGGGGTCCAGCACTGGGGGACACATTTCTGTCCCCACCCTTGTCATCTGGAGGACAGCAGGGAGGTGGGGTATCCCTCTGCACGTCCCCAGGCCAGAGGAACAGGGCAAGTCCCTGTCTAGAGCCCACAGTGCTGGCACAGGGTTACTGGGGGCTGGTATGGGGGTCACTGTGAACTCATATGGAGGTGACTGCAGGCTGGTGTGGGGGTTTCTGGGAACTGGTATAGAGGTTACTGGGAATAGGCATATGGAGGTTACTGGGGGCTGGCCCAGTAACACCTTCAGCCTCACAGAGCAGCTGTGGGTCCATGGCTTTGGGTCTTACTGGGCTGGTTTTGGTGGAAGTCCCTTTAGCAGCGTGTTTGCCGAGGAGAGGGATCCTCCGTGCCTTCACCAGCCTCACCACTGCCCTGCCAGTGCTACATCCACCTCCAGCCTTTCTCCAGAGCCAGCAGGTGAGTTAAAAAAAAAAAGAAAGCAATAAATCTTAGCCCATTTCAGCTGGTTTGGATAATTTTTCCTGTTCCTGAAGCAAAGACCCTTCTTGCTTTGGCTGTTTACCAAGATGATGGCAGCAACAAACTTCAGCTGGGGAAACTCTTGTTGGCGTGAGTGAAGAGCACATGAAGCAGATAGAGACCTTGGGTGTATCTCATCTTTCAAAAAAAAAAAAAGGATGTAATTCAATATTTACAATACTTGCAATATTGAACATTTACAATATTACAGCATTTACAGTGAATATTACAATATTTACAATATTGAATATTTACAATATTCCCCAAATCTGGGGAGTTACTTCAATCATATTTTCAGAGTTTGGGGCTCCCATGGCATGGGGATCCATGTACACATTTGCACATTTTCATGTGCCACCACAGCATTCCTTGCTCTGGTTTTAAATGGCACCAGCGACTCATTTTGGAATGGAACTGAATGAATTTTGGAGGCTGTTAATGGGATCACCACCATCACGTGGTCTGTGGGTCTGGGGTCCTTGGGTGTGGAACTGGGCCCCCTTTTTTTGCTCCTGGTGCTGTCTCGGCTTGAAGGCAAGATATGCTTTAAACACCCTCCAAAACTTTCCTGACCTTTGCAAAACACCCCATTGCAGGTGCAGAGCACAGGCAGGACCAGAGGGGCAGAAGCTGGGCGGTGCCTGGTCCTCCCGGGGTGCCCATGGCATGGCTGGGGGTGAGTGCCACAGCTGGAGAACAGGAATTCCCTAAGCACAGGGGACGGGCAGGGACCAGCACCCTCATGGGCAGGGGGACAGCAGAACCCACCCTTGCTGCAGGGTGTCCGGGCTGGGGGGGCATCCAGCTGCTCCCCACCCCACGGAGAGAGCTGGAGCTGCCCACCTGCTTAACCCACAGCCAGCTCCCCGTGTGCGGTGACAGCCCTGTCCCCTCCCACACCCCCACCACAGGACACCGGTCCTGTCCCCACCGTGCCGCCCGCGGGGTGACAGCCCTGTCTCCCACCATATACCCATCACAGGGTGACAGTCCTGCCCCCCCTCCTCCCCCTGGTGCCATCCATGGGAGTGACAACTCTGTGTCCCCCGCGCCACCCATGGCGTGCCAGCCCTGTCCCCCCGCCGTGTCCCCCGAGGGGGGGCAGCCCCGCAGCCTCCTCCCGGCTGATGCGCAGTGACATTTGCAATCTGTTGCCATGGGCGCTCGGGGACTTTTGCTGTGGAGGGGAATCGCGTTTCTCCCCCCTCCTCCTCCTCCTCCCCTTCCCTCCCTCCCGATGACGTCATGGATGACCACGGTGGTGACAGGGCCACCTGTGGGCTGATGAGGGGTTTAAAGAGACAGTCTGCAGCTGCAACAGGAGCCCTGGCTATTGTCTCCGCACCTGAGAGCGGGGTAACCTGCAGCCCCCAGACCATCCATCCATCCATCCATCCATCCATCCATCTATCCACCCACCCCATCTCATCCATCACATCCCGTCCATCCCACCTCATCCCCGCATCCTCTGCCTCCATCACTGCAGCTCTCCCGGGACCGGGGCATTCCAAGCAGGGTTCCGTATCCCTTCCCTGTAGAGGCTTCTCCAAGGTAAGGCTGCGCTCCGTGCCCTCCTGTCCCACTGGGGACCCCGGTGGGCTGCAGCCCCAAACGCTGCTGGCAGCGTGGAACGCTGGCAGCGTTTGGGGCTGCAGCTTGGAGGGATCCCCTGGGAATCCAAAGCCTGGATGGCGTACCCACACCTTGGACAGAAGACAGAGCAATCCCTGGGACAACAAAACCCCTGAGGTGGCATTTCCCTGCTTGCAAAAAGGGGCTGGGATGCTCCTGCCTGGGGTACCACTGAGGTGTGTGGGGGGTCTACAGGGTCTTCATCCCTTGTCAGACGGCATTCCCAGACTACCACAGAGCATCTGCCTTCCATCTGTGCCAGCCCTCTGGAATGAGCCTTGAGCATCTCTTTGTCCCTGCAGTGGTCCTCATGAAGGGGACCCTCAGAGCTGGCACCATGTCGTGCACCTGAAACCCACCATGTCCAAGCCCTGAGGGGCCACGGGTGATTCCAGGAGCCACGAGTGATGCCAGGAGTCATGGTGCAGGCTGTAGGAGCAGGCAAGGGCAGGAGGAGAGGAGCTGCACTCCTCATTTTAGGGGAAGGAAGGACCATCTCTGCCCTGTCCCCAGGGCTTTGTCCCACGGTCCTTCCAGCTCCGATGGGGTGAGCGGCAGGTAAGTGCCTCCGTTTGGTGTCACTTGGATGTGTGGGCAGGGAGCGAGATAGAAAAAGGGTCTGGGAGAGGCTTGGAGAAGTGTAGGTTGGAGATGTGTGTGCAGGGATTGGTGTGTGTGTGTTCACCCTGAGAGGAAGATTATGTCCCTTCCCACCGGACATACCCCAGTGGTGACCATGCAAGTCACCAAACTCCTCAGCAGTTTCCACCAAGCAGTCCTTGAAGGTCTTCCCAAGCCCACAGCTGCCTGCAGTTCCAGATCCACTGGAGCCTGCATGGAGTCCCAACAGCTACAGAGCCGCTGGTGCCACAGGGTTGGCTGTCATGGGAGCAAAGTGAGTGGGCAAACCCCACGGTGAATAGCCTGGGCTGCCTCTGCAGCCTTCCCAGGAACAGCTGGCATGGGGACATGGGGCAGGATGGGCAGGGGACCACACGGCACTGACTCTGTGGCCCATCCTTGAGGATCTGAGCAAACCCAGGGATGCAGCTGCCCCCGGAACCCTGGGATCCTGCTGGAGTCGGGCTGTCTACATCCCGCTTCTGCAGTGCTGGGATCTGAAGGAATAGGCAGTGGCATGTTTCTGCCATCCATCCCTTAAAAGATGCAGACAGATTAGGCTGGGCCTGGTTTTTGAGTGGAAGTAGCAAAAATGTGAATTGTCTGACAGGTGGCAGTTTCTGCCTGGGTGGCCTTGGTGTTTGCCCACTTGGTAGCAGCGGAAGCGCAGGGACACAGCCTGGACTTCTCGACAATGGCCTGGGAGATTTAGAGGGAAAACCCGCAGCCCCCTGTGATGCTCTGTCACCTTTGCCCCCGTTGCTGCCACAGGCACACCCTGTGAGTGCCGTCTGTAAATCTAGGAGCTCTGGTTATGCTCAGCACCCCAGCGTGGCACAGGGCAGCCCTGGGTGGACTCAACTTGCTTTGGAAGGCTTTGGGAAGGCCAAGGCTGCTGCTCCACTGGTAAAGCTCAGAGGGGGTTAAGGGTTTGTGGCAGGGGATGTTTCGGGTGTTGACTCCCAGGTGCGCAGTCAGGCTCATCCCCTCCCTGCACTTTGCATGGGGCAGAGGCTGCTTGAGCAGCAGCCATGGAAAGCAGGAGCTGATTTAATAGTAGATAGGCATGGGTGAGGGCTGCCTGCTTTTCCAGTGGCTCTAAAAGGTGCAAATAGAGCTGAAGAGACACGGGGTGTGGGGTCTGGCTCGTGCAGATGAACACATGGAATGGGCAAAGGATGTACAGCACGCGGGAGGAATTGTGGAGTAGTGGCTGTCTGAGCCCAGCGGTCCAGGGATGCACTGTGTAGCTGGCCTTTTCCTGCTTCAAAATCCTGCAGGAGCATGTAACCAGAAGGGAACTCTTGCCTCTGTGTGAGGGCACCCAAATACACACACACACACACACACACACACACACGTGTCCTACCCCAGTACGTCGTGGAACCAGGGAACACCGGTTACGCTCCCAGCTCTCCCCGGCAGGCGCTTCCACCTCCCCCATTCCCTCAGGGGAAACTCCTCCAAGGCTGGTGATGGATAACACTGCCAAAGCGCGGGCTTCTTTCTTGACCCTCCTTCTGGCATCATCCAAATTCCTTCTGCCAGCATTGTAGTCTTTAATTTGAGATGGTGCCTGAGCTTGAGGCTAAATGCCTGTTTGCCACAGGGATGGGGTCTCCAACAGGGATTTCTCTGGGTGGGGAATGAGTTTCAGACCTTGCTCTGGTGGTGAGGAATACAACCCTTTGCCCACAGGAGGCAGAGTTAAGGTGAAGTGGCCAATTCCACCTTCAAGGCTCCTCCCTGGTCTGTATTTTCTCATCAGGGTCTGAGCCCACCCAAGGCTCAGGATATTACTGTGTTCTGGAGTGACGGCTCCCTCTGGTCAAACACCATGAGGGGAAGAAGGTGCCAGCTTTCATGCTGCTCTTGGCATGCTTCAGGCTGGACTGTGCCCAAGCCACAGGGAGGAAAGGTGAGGAACCAATGCCATTAGGCAGTAGCCAGCATCCCTCACCTCCCAGCCTGGCTCGGCGTGTGCACGCAGCAGGCACCGGCTCCTCAGCAATGACACGCAGGCTTTTCCAGCACAGCCTCTTAACCCAGCTAATTCCCTTGTTTTCTCCTGCCAGGCCCGCTGTGCCCCTGCCAGGGGATGGCCTGGATCCTGCTAATTGCACCAGCAAGCTGCCACGTGTCTCCATCACTGGGGTTGTTATTCTCTGGGGTTATTTTGGGGACTGCTGGCCCTTACCTGGCAGTGTGGGTCAAGGCAGTGATGGGAAGCACCCCTTGCCACTTCCCCTTCACCATCTTCCACTAAATTATCTCGATTACAGATTGACTCCCCTGCTCCCAGTGCATGCTGAAATGGGGTTTCACCAGGAATCAGGGAGATCCTTGGCATGGCACAGCCCAATGTTTCTCCCATTCCTTCTTCCCCGTCAGGAAGGCAACAAAGGCATAGTGAGAGGAAGGGCTGCCTGAACTCACCTAACCCACTCCCAGCCCCAAAGTCCACATCTCCAAGGCTGATTTGGAGGTCCTAGAGTTGGAGGTGCCATAGCTCATCCTCACATCAGTCCCCTGCTCTCCTCCTCCCCTCTTCATCCAGGGAAGGCTCAGGGTGCCAGAAGCACCCTGGAGCATCCCTCACCTCCCACCTCCCCATTCCCTCCTCCTGTCCCCAGGCCATCTGGCCACACTCATCCACGTTAAACAAATGCTGGAGTCTATTATCAGGCCCTGCCTCCCCCTTCCCCCCCCAGACAGATGGAGGCTGAGCACACCCGGAGCCCCGGCCCGCAGCATTCATGTGTGTGAATGAGAAAATTGAATTATTTATGGCCATGTGAATAAGGCTGGCGGCTGCGGAGGCCGAGCGGAAAGGACTCCATTACGTGGAGAGTACCTGTTGCTATGGAGCTGGGACTTCTTCCCCATGGCCCCCCATGCACAGCTGCATCCCTGCCCACCCCCCAGCCTCCCCTGCTCCTCACAGAGCTGGGATGGAGAGCAGAGCTGAGTGCTGGACTGGCCACAGTGCGGCCAGGATGGGTGCTTTTCTCCCTGCATTCTGCCTGGTGCTCCTGCAGGCTGCTTTGGAAGTCAGACCAAATCTCTCCACGTTTTGAAGCAGGACCCCCAGTGCAATGTGGGGATGCTGTGGCTCCCTGATTCCCTGGCCACAGTGCTGTGCAGCCAGAAAGCAGTGGGAAGTGTTGGGGTGGGCAGTGGCAGCACCTCATGGCTGGAGCTGGGCAAAGCAAGTCCAATCCTGGCACAGCACGGGACGAGGGCTGACTCAGCTCGGACTCCTTAACTCCCCTTAAACCTCCCATCCCCAGAAGCAGTGGGAGCTGTGAATTGAGGCTCCCCCAACCCCCACATGCCCACGCAGAAGAGCAGCTTTGCAAGAGTGGGGACTCCTTCCAGAGCCACCTGCATTGCAGCCTCTCCTTCAGGAAAGCTGAATCCTGCAGTGATGCTGAGAGAGGTGCTGGGGCATCCCTCCCTCCCACTGTCTCCCTAACTCCTGCCTCGATGCCACCCTGGGATCAGGCCAGGCTCCTGGGGACCGTGAGGGGATGGGACTCGGCAGCCCCCAGCCCTGCACGACAGCAGCGCAGGGACTCCCGCTCCCTTCCCTGCAGAGCTAAGAATAGACTCCAGATCCACTCCTGGTGCTGAGTGGGCTCTGCTGGGCTCAGAGGAATAAAAAGCAGGAAAACGCTTATTTTAGTTGCTGCAGTCGGCAGCTGTGACTCTGATGTACCTAAGGAGAGGCTTCGCACCGTGTTTACCCTCCTGCTGCTGGGAGCAGAGGCACCATTGCAGACTCCTTGTCCAGGCTACGGATGCCCCTGCCATGGTCCCAGCCCAGAAGTCTCAGATGGCTCCCAATCCTTCTCTGCCACAACTGGCTGCTTACCCCTTCCTTTCCCCACTCTTCGTAGTGAATCTGGGGGATGCAGGTGCTCCCACTGTTCCCATGCCTTAGGGGGTGCTCCCCCACTGCTCCCTGCACCAGCCACTGCTGGAGGCCAGTGGAGCCTTGCTGAGATGCTTAGGGCTTGTGTAGGGTTCTGGGGTTCATCCAGCTGTACCAGGCATGGGGTTGTTGTCTCCAGCATCTGAGATAAAGGGGGACTGCAGAAATGCCTATGTCTGAGTGACGGTCCAGCATGGGATGCTGCAGCGGCAAGCTGGCATATGCCAGCCCTGGCTGTGGGTGCAGGGCCAGGGGAAGCACCCACTCCAGGAGAGCACCTCTGGGTCCCTCTCCCCAGCATCACCCCCAAGGTAAAATCAAGAGAAAGCTAATTGTTACCATAGTTACGTGGAGTGGCCTTTCT